CACACACACACACACACACACACACACTATAATCCTATTTGATGAGGCAATATCTTAATGATACCCGATGTGGCCCCTCTGGCCCCCTCAAAGAAGGTCTGTCCTCAGCCATCGTAATCAGCAACCCTGCTTCCTTCACAGAAACACCACCTCGATAAAGCTCGGGAACTCAGACACGCAGTGAGCTTGTTTCGAAATAACAATGGTTCTGCTGCTTTTGTTTAGATTCTTGGAAATTTAACCAAGTGGTGGTTTCCTAGCATATTAAAGCTTAAGAGAGTATCTGTTACTTAAGGTGTTTACACACTGTCTGATGCAAGCTTAATGTGTGGATCTGTATGTTGGTCAGGAGCTCTTGTATCCACAGTCAGACCGGACAGCCTGTTTGGCGCGATGTAGCAGCCAGCCTTTGGAGCCCATTAAATCCAGAGGCTGTTTTTCCTGCTGAGTCTCACTAGGCCGTGACAGGGCCGGAGAGGGCTGCGAGGGGAAACAAATAGCCCAACTCATCCTGGCCATAAAGAAGCTTGCACCACAACCCAATAAGGGTCTGACGCTGATGAATGTGACCAGGGACAGAAAGGCGACCCTGGCCAGTCTCCACCAGAAATGAAACCACAGGGATATAAAATAGGTTATTATCGTCACACAGTGACAGGCAGACGGACAGAAGGGCAGAGATGGATGGACAGACAAAGTGACTAAAAAGGAGGTTGAGTGGGAAGAGCAGCAAAGATTAAAGGACTGATTACGACTGGAAAGCCTAAGGATAGATAACCTCAGAATCCCTCCTCGATCTGCAGCAGCAGGATACGATTAATGCGTCTCGCCTGGCTGTGAGGTTAGATGTGCTCAAGTGCGTCAAGGCTTCAATAAAAACATGCATATTCTAATAGGTCCACATGGACACCACTTGATAAAGATCATCTGCAGACAAACAATCGAGCCCAGAGCACAGAGCTGCTGGTAAAGGCCACAATGATGCGATTCACACACATCCACATGTCAGCTCATGAAGCACTTTTCTTTTTAAAAAGAAACACTTCCTGGCCTTACTGCAAGATCAGTGAGCAGAGCTATTGTTACTATGGTTGACGTAGATAATCTGTATTAATAAAAAGAACAAATTAATGGGCAACGGCAGTGACATGATAATAAATACGTTTAAACTCTGTTCTGATGTAATTTAAAATAGCCTTTAAATATTTACATTCTAAACCAAAACAGAACTAATAAAGACCAAAAATGAAACCTCAATCCACGTAAATATAAGAGTACTGATGTAGGTGAACAGGTTGGATTAAAACCAATCAGAAGTGCCAAATCCACTTTAGATCTACCCTCACTCATACCAGTTGGCAACCCCCTGGCAACCTCTAGAGACAAGGACAAATGTATATTCCCTGAATGGTTGGCAAGTGGTTGCTGTTGCTGGAATAAATAGATCACAAAGAAAGTGCGGCACCAAAAACCTCCTTATGATTGTTTTGGTTACTAGAAGATTGATGTAGTTTGCAAGGAAGATGCCAACTTGCCAACTTCGCCTTCAAAGTAAAAGCTCGGTTTTTTAAAACATGCTAGTTTAAGTGGTTTTCCATTTCCAGTTTGTTAGAGAGACTTTGCAGACAAGTCATCATCTTACATGTGAATCTGCTAGCGGCCAAAGCAATCACAAGGAGGATTTTGGTGCTGCACCTTCTTTGCGATTTATTTAATCTAACGACACCAATCACTCGCCTATGTCTTTGACACTGCATATGTCTTTAAGACCGATTTTGCCTAGTGACACCAAGTGGCCTCCACCAATCACTCATTAACTTGTCAGGGAGTACACATTTTTTACGTATCTGGGGCTTAGCAATTAATTTTCCAGCAACCTCCAGCCAAAAATCCAAATAGAGTGTGCTGAATTAGAAGTTGTTTTAGAGAGAGGAGAAGCTGGACCTGTGCTTATCTACAAATACATGTTAGTTTGTGGACTCACGGGCAAAGGCATGGGTGGAGTGACGGGTGACGGGAGGCTGCGGGCCGGAGACTGGTTGGGTCGGTGCGGCGGGGACTGCTGCGGCTGCCCGGAGGTGGAGGAGCAGGTGGAGGCTGGAGACGGGACGGAGGTCTGCTGCTGCTGCTGGCTGGGTGGGGTCATGTGATGCTGGGATGACAGCTGGTTCTGGTTATGGGAGTGAGACTGTTGGTGATGGTGGTGCTGCTGTTGCTGCTGCTGATGTTGCTGTTGCTGCTGCTGCTGTTGTTGCTGCTGCTGGTGGTGGTGCTGCTGCATCTGTTGGAGCTGCTGCAGGTGCTGGAGCTGGGAGTTCAGTGATGAGGTAGCTGTTGATGAAAGGACAGGAGTTTGATTCTTTGTAGTGTCTGAGCCACACGCCGCAGAAGTGTTTCAGCACATAAACAAGAGGCCTTCATTATCTGAAGAATATTTTCACACCAAAGACAGAAACACATGCACACATAGAGTGTGGGATGCATAGGGTAAACAGTGAAAGACAGATGTAAATTGCATGGAGCCACAACAAGGTCCTCCTGGGTTTTTAGCCTGCATGATGGAGTCACTGAATTCAATTTAGCTAGTTGGAGGACAAAGCTATCAAGCCTGACTGATATAATTGCTCTCCGGAGCCAAAAGTCGTCATTGTCACTCGGAGAAAGAAAGAATCTTTGGTTTAATGGCTCAAAATCTCATAAGAAAGAGACATCCATCTTCTCTGTAAGAGTTCAGAAATAAACCCATTAACTAATTGGATCCAATAATAGCGTGCCATTAGAAAGTAATTCCAACATTTAAATGCTTATAAATTTTTATGCTGTTTAAAAAAAAAATCAGTTAACACTCAAGCTGCAGCCACACCAGACATGCAGATACTACCAAGTACCCAGAGAGCACACCTGACATAAAACAAATGTAAAAACATGTTGGTGTGACCGCTGTGCAGTTCACTCCAAACACCCGAATACACAACTTGGTGGATCTTCTGTCATTTCACACACACAAACACACACTTTATGTTTGAATGTCAGACGAAAGCCACAGCACAACACAGACAACGAATGATTTCTACTAAAGGAATCAACCGTAACACCATATGTGCGAAATGGGCTAAAAACAACAACATCTAAGCTGACCTTCACACCCTAAACAGAAGAAAGGACAAACTGAGTTTACACACAGATGTGATGGATAGAAGAGACTTTTTAAAACCTGTGTATGTCTTAACATGTTGACAGTTCAACCGCTTAAAAACAACTTTACATATCAGAACATATCATTGCTACGCTTGTCTTCCAGCAGATTGCTGTGGACTGCTCGGTGATGCTACACAGCCTTAGACAGAAAAGAAAAGAGTGAAAGTAACATTTGACTGTTTCTGTGCTGCAAAAGATAATTTGGGTTTAGTGGAGACAGGACTGATCTGTATGGAGATATTTCATCTAGCTTTTTACATTGTAGTGCACAATAAAAAGACATTTCTGCCCTATGTAATTGTTTCCACAGTTAAAGTTACTTTCAGCTGCTCACTTATTCAGAAGAGGGTGAGCACAGCAGGTAGCTCTGCATGTTTGATTTGCCCTTCTTAACACAACCCACAAAAGAGTTTGTTTCTCCTCCCAAAATTGAATTCAGCCTCATTTGCTTGTTAGGCAAAAGTGTAAACCACTGCACTATAGAGCCACTTCAGTTCTTAAAAAAAGTCCAAAAATAATCTTAAAACCTACAACTTCTTTGGATGGAAAGTAGACTCTGATCTTTCAGTACTAGCATTTCAATTCCATTCAATTCAGTTTATTTACAAATCCCATCAACAGTCGCCTCAAAGTGCTTAAAACATCCATAAAAATGAAAATGTAAAAAGTGAAGAAGAAAAACACCCTTCAATCATGCTATGAGTGTTGATGTTGCATAGTTTGCCCACCAGAGGGCACTCTACAATATGTCTCTGGGTTGCAACAACCACAACAGGCAGTTGATTCAAGAACTATCGGGCGGTGGTAAACGAATAATCCACGAGTTGTTGTAACAGCAAAATTACTTTTTAAACATCACTTTCGTTATCTTAGACTACACTATTAAATTACTCCATATAATTCTGCGTTGTGTGTCTGAAAGAAAAAAAATATCGGATTTTTAAATCACCAAATATCGGTATCGGTCTTTAAAATCTCATATACTAAAAAGCAAGGTAATTATGCTGAGTAAAGCATATGCTGTCTAAACAAGCTAAATTAACAGGTTTTGCGAAAAATACACTTCCTGTTTTTAGAATTAGGAAAGTAAAGACTAAATAAATACTTCAATTAAACTTCTATTAATAACTAAATTAACTACGTTTGCCTCTTTTAAGTCAAATGTTCATGCTTTAAAACTAAAAATCCACAAACTAGGGTGTAAACTGTGATGTCATTCTGAATAACATATAAAGTGTCGCAGATAATGTATTTATACTATATTAACATACACGGCCGAACTAAGCTAAGCTAAATATTTACAGTGTTTATAACACAAAGGCCCTGATAACAAACACTGGAAAATGACTTGTGAACATCTATTGATAATACGGCCCAGCAATTGTGAACACATCGTAGACAAGCTTGTACACACACCGAATCAATGCACTTAAATTATTTAAGTATGCTTGTCTCATAAAAGATGAATAAAACATCAGGGCAGACAAGTCTTTGATTAGCGTGGTCACTTCGTCTCCAGGACAGGCACAGATGAACATTTGATGAAGATCAGATCATCCTCCTCTTTCCTCACTCTGCACAAGCCCAGCCAAAGAGAGCCGGCATCTCTCGGCCAGTAAACAGCACACTTTTACATTTCTTCTACCTCCTGACACATTGACACCTCTCTCACACCCCCACCATGAATTATATATCATCTGTGCAAACGGCAAGAGTCCAATTCGCACTTGAAATGTTGGGGCAAGTTGTCTAGCAAGCGCTGAGCCCCTGACAGGACCGGCTCTTTTCCTTTGCAACTTCACAACGACAAAATGTTGAGGCCCATTTAAAGATGGAATAAAAGGGAACAAAGACGGAGAAAACAAAAGGGGGGCAAAATGAGATTTCTGTCAAAAAATTATCGAAACCAGGCGAAGATCAAAGACGATTGAAGAATTTCCTCCAGCGCCAACCATTACGCCAAGGAACACGAGGCACAACAAAAGAATATGAAGCAGAAGAAAACAAATACAGAGGGAATATGGAAGAAGCCCCATGTGGCCTTATTATAAGGGCTACACTGCAGGTAACTATATTCTTTAACAGCAGTGCTTTATAAATTCTGTCATCTTGTTAAGACTGTCAGGACCACTGACCCTCCCTTCCTCTCTAACTGGGCAACTGGCATTTTGAAGCTCATTCTTTTAACCACAGCTGTCTGATTGCTTTGGTTGAGCACATAATCCAAACAGCTTGTCTCAGCTAATTGTTTGTGCTCCTTCCTCCAGCAGACACAGGGCCGAGGATGAGAGCGGGAGCTTCACTTGTGATGGAGAGAGGGCAAAAGGGTGCCGGGATCCTATAGAGCTCATTATATCTCCCACTGTCTCTTTGTTGTGTTTCATATTCACTAGTTCTCGTCTGCTGCGATGCAGTCAGCGCTCCCACTTAGTCATCGCGCCTGAGGGGTGGAAGAGCAAGGGTCTCACTTTCAGTGTTGTCACAACTTGCCTATGTTAATGTTTCTAATGAGGAATGAGCCAGATCATGCGGCGCAATGATCAGATGCAAACGAAACTCAATTTTAAACTTTTAACAACAATCATTTGGGACTCCGAGACACCAGCGCTGAGAAGTCTCAGGCCTTCAACCTCAGCGCTTTGAGAAACTGTCTGCCATCTCTCTTTCAGAGCTTCTTCTTCTTTTTCTTTTTTTTCGCTTTAGTGCCACAGTAGAAATCAACTGTTATCTCTGACTGTCCTGGCCCAGGCTTGTGAAGTAGTGGAGGACGAAGCGAGACTGATTGTCAGAGGTCGAAAGGCTAGGTCAAAGCCGGCTCGTTCGTCAGACAAAATGCTATTTTTGTTTCCTGTGCGGTTGAGTAGTGGGGTGGGAGGGCGGGCAGTCTGCTCTCTCATTACCAGCGCTATCTCAGTAGTCACTGCCAACCCACCTATTACAGCACTTTTCTCTCTGGGGCTGATTCAAGCTCCTTGTTTTCCTCCCGATGTACAACACCTGCCTTTGTAACTATTTCCCTTGAATTGCCTTATACACCCTTTGCCTGTGTGCTTGTTTGTGCATATGTAAATGACTCTGGCTACCCGTTGGTATCGTGTCATCCTAACATCCACAGTGCATTTTTCGAGTTAAATGAAATATGAAAACATCTGTTGATGCATTTAGCCTTTCTGAAAAGCAAAAAATAGGTGGTCGTCATGTTATAGCGCTTAGAAAAGACCCGGGCAAGGCCAGCATGAAGAGTGATTGCAGGGTCATAGCAATCACATCTACACAAAGGGACTTTGACTATCATTCGTTCTATCAAACCGCACGTGATCTGTGTTGCATAAAGTATGGACAGAAGGAGTCGGAGACGATGATCTCATGTTGGAGGCATTCAGTAAATCTAGCCGTTAAAAAGAAAACGATAGTTCACAAAGCTTGGACAGAATGTACTGAGTTTCAGGACTGAATAAAATCTAATGGTACCTTTTGTATATTCATGCATGCACACTGGCTTTCATATGCATCTCTTCCTTTAAAGCCAAGAAAAAGTTTTTCATCTAGCTGCTTATACACTGCTGCACTATCTGGATGTCTTTAGCCTCACTTAGGAGAGGAGTGCAGTAAATTAAGAGCTAATCAGAAGCTACAGAGGAGCCTTTCCAGGTTGATGAAATTGTCCTATGTGACCCACCCTGTATCTTTAGGAACTGCTCTCGTCTCTAAACACGGCTGTCATTCTCCGACGAAAGAGGTGAGGGGGGGACAAACAAGCTCCCCATTACTGCTCTGCCTCACGTTCCTCTATGGGAGTCCATAAACCACTGTCTCAATTGCCTTTTCAGTGAGTCACACTGATAATTACTCCACTGGAGGTAAGGAGATTTAGACTCTATGAGATCTGGTAATTATGAAGGTGGTCAAGGGAAGGTCATTTTTTACTCTGTGGATTAGATCGGCGCGCTCGCACACTGATGAAGGGGATAACATCACTGTTTCTGCTCTCATTTCCTTTGTGAAATGTTAACTTTTAGTTCACTTTCATAACACTGATTACGCGTCAAGGTAATTATTTCTATCACTGGTCATTCTGTCTGTCTTTTTTTTAATTCAAAAGTGATTTATTAAAACACAGAAAGATGAAAAGA